ACTCAATTGAAATATGCTAGGTTTAACGTCTACACGGTGTCCATTTTTCGAGTGCCACTATGGGGATCTCACTTATCTTAAGAGATAGGAAGTTGGTTAAATGGGGGCAAAGTTGCAAATTTCCGTGCTGAATAAGAATCTGAAAAGAAATTTGAAATATCTTCAATAGTTTTGAAAATATTGCAAAAAAAGAAAATTTCTGATTTTCGTTTTTAATTTTTTTATGATAAACTAGTCGTAGTAGACATTTCTAATTAGCACATTATTCGGACACTTTTTAATGGAGATTATGGCATCCTGTTTTTAATTACGTTCAAGATTACGGAGAAACACGTGGCAACTTTGGTTTTTCTTATGGGCGCCATATTGAATTTTGACATTTTGGGATTACATCTTTTTTTCTTTTTACGATATATCACACATAGTGGTTTAGTATCACATTTTTCCTAAAAATACAATTTTTCATTTTTTTGAGAAGAGTGCTTTGGAAAAACAAAACGTTCTTTTGTCGTCAACAAAAGTTTGACAGTTTGATCCATCTGTATGGTTGCAGCGTTGTCAGAGAAGTAGAAATTCGATTTTATCTCAACTGCTTGCAAAATTGCCTGCTCATGTTCATTGGGTCTATCACCATATTGCTGTCTACATCTTTTAAAAGAACCATATTCGCCCAAGTTGTTATGCAGCAAAGAAAAATACCTCAAACTAGGTTGTTGCCCCTCTGGATAACGCTGCAAGTATGTTGCAGCAGTCATGTGGGCATTTCGATGAGAAGTGTAGTAAATTTGGATCATATCTCTTTGATCTGCACTTGAAAAAGGCATTTTCGCAATACAACTAGCATAAACCTAAATGACACTACATGAAATAAGTCAACCTTTCGTTCACAACAAAAGAACGTTTTGTTGTTCCAAAGCACTCTTCTCAAAAAATTAAAAATTGTATTTTTGGGAAAAATGTGAAACTGAACCACCATGTGTGATATATCGTTGTAAAGAGAAAAGAAGACGTAATCTCAAAATGTGAAAATTCAAAATGGCGCCCATAAGAAAAACTAAAGTTACCACGTGTTTCTCCGTCATCTGGAGAGTTATTAAAAACAGGATGCCATATTTGAAATCTCCATTAAAAAAATAAAAACGAAAATCAGAAATTTTTGTTTTTTTGGGATATCTTCAAAACTATTGAAGATATTTGAAATGTCTTTTCAGATTCTTATTCAGCACGAAAATTGGCAACTTTGCCCCCATTTAACCAACTTTCTATCTCTTAAGATAAGTGAGATCCAGATAGTGGCACTCGAAAAATAGACACCGTGTATATTACCAAATGCAACAAAAGTAGTATAATAGGTATAATGTATGTACAATACAATTTTAAGTTATATTAGCCTTTCAAATTTATCATCCATTCCTGTTAATTTGTTTGCTATTTCGGCGAACATGTTTTCTAATTTTTTCCATATTCGTTGCCTCCATGCTGTTGGAATTTTATTACCGTATGCGCGCTGTAATTTTTGTTTGACGCGTTCAGATTTAGTTAACGTTTACGCGCTATAATTTTTGTTTTCCGAGTTCAAGGGCACTAACCTATAAATAATGAAAAATATTGTGAACAGCGGAAATATGAAAAATATGCTTACCTAGCTTAAGGTTAGGAATAACTCAATTCACGTTAATACGTTAAGAAAAATAATTTCGGCAATTTTAACTTGATCCCTCTGGAATTTCATAAAATTTCAAAATCTTTTGCAAAATTAGTACCTGTCATTCAAACGACAAAAGCAAAAAAAGGGCATTTCTTCAATCCCAATGGTATCTGCTCACATTCTGAAGGCGCATTCAGCCAGACACTCCTATGGGTACATTCAACGACGAAACGGAACGTTACAAGTAGTTAACGATAGTAGTTGGTCTGGGTTCTTTTTTGTGATTGTGATTGTGTGCTATTTGAATTTCGCAAAAGTTTAATTAAAAAATCAAATTATATACAGGGTGATTCCTATAGTACCTGCCACCGTTTGGGAGCGTATAGGGGGTGCCTAGGAGAGTATTTTGATATAGGACACTTGGAGTCGGAAATCTAAAATAAGGGCGCCAGAACCAAATTTATCTTCTGGAATTTCACGCCTGTATGTAGGCAACCCAACCGACCGACGTTTCGCGCGGAGCGATGCAGAGCGAGTTAGCGCGAGGAAGCGACATGGGAGGGAAGGAGGGAAAACGACAGTCAAAAGCAATAACGTTTACAAGTGTTCAACGTGGCCACCGTTGTTCTCAATGCACTTCCTACATCTAGCCAACTATTATTATACTATTGCCATAGTGTTTATTCACTTGATACGCGTCGTTGCAGACGGGATTTCGTGGGTTTAAACAAAATTCTGATCAAGTGTCAGCCACACATCGCCGCCTGAGATCGCTCCGTGTGCACCGCCGGCCGGTTGGGTTGCCTACCTACAGGCGCGAAATTCCAGAAGGTAAATTTGGCTCTGGCACCCTTATTTTAGATTTCCGACCCCAAGTGTCCTATATCAAAATACTCCCCTACGCACCACCTACACGCTCCCAAACGGTGGCAGGTACTATAGGAATCACCCTGTATACCCTGAAAAAAAAGATCATGAAAAACACGTGCTCCATTGCCCTATTGTAATATTCCTATCGAGTCATATTGCAATAGCGCGCATTGTTGTACTTGCAGTTCAGAGGATCCATAAGCCACCCTTCAATTACACATAAAAGTATAGTCTTTTTCCGTTGCTCCGTCAATCTCCTTTACATAATAGTCTGTTTGAGGGCTGTAATTTTTGTGGTACTTCAAGTATTTTAATTTCTTTGATTGATTTTGTTGACAGGGCCAACAAGCCACCCTTTTAGTGCACATAATGGTACCTGTATAGTCCTCTGTCCTGTTTCAGAAATTACAATTTTTTTTAAAAAGCCCACCCCTGCATTACAATCTGTTTATTGTTGTTAGGGCTGTAATTTTTGTTTTCTTGTTTGCTTTATATTTCTTATTTTGTAAAGGAACGTAATTATCTTTAGGGTTGTCCTAGGCCTTTGTGAGCTGCCTGTAGCGAACAATATAAGACATAATATAAAGTTGTATAGAATCGTCGGAAGGCCTTTCAAAATGCATAGGTATATTTGAAAGTAGACTACATTTTGGAACAAAAGTGCCTAAGAGGCTTGACAATTTCTTGAAAATTAATGACTGATGTGTAATGCCGAGAACAACTCATCTCTCTAAAGCATGCTAGCCTTTTTCAGACCTTTGTGGAGGCAGTCGCGATGTTATTTAAATTAATGCCTCAACCATATCCTTTATGATAGCTTATACCTTGAGCAACACGACTAACCGACTTAGCATAGCTGAAAGTAAGAGGAGAAGCTTTCAATCGCGCCTTCAACAGAGAATTAAGTTCAATTTGTCTTTATTGTTCCACGTTAATTTTCTTTGCATTGCAATTACCACACGACGCCATGTCTTTCAATGGAAAGTAGTTTTTTTGTATGTAAATTGCTACTTTAAATGTTAAACGTCGCATTTCCATAATAAAAAGAAATTTACATCACTTAATTTGGAAGACATTAGGGAAAAGGATAAAACAAACATAGCGGTTCCTTCGAACGGAAAATCTTATTAAACATCTAACTCTCCCCGTCCCAATTCATTAAAAGGCGTACTGTTCACTTTTAATATTCAACGTTCCCCGAAATATTTCAGTTCTTACGACCGACCGTCGGAGGTTTCAATTCGGTTTCAAGTGCGCGCGATCATTTACAATTCATAAAACGCCAAAATCCTCTCTTTCATTTCATCGCTCCGGCTCGCGTGATCCGTAATTCGTTCTTTTTCCCTGTGAAATCTCCGACAAAAACGGAAAACCCATTACGGGCGTTGTATTCCCGTCGAAATCTGGACAGAAAGGAAATTGCGTTTCAGGTTACCACTGTATAAGTTTGATGGTCTTGATATCCAATAATCATGGCATCGAAAACTAAACTCACTGTCCAAAAATTGCGTTTTTATCACGAAACGCTACTGCACGCGTGTCGGATAATTTTTGGGACGCACTCGTATTTAGCGAGATGATCTACTTTAGGAATTGAACTATGGGTAGAGTATTATACGAGATCGACAGCTTGTGTAACTACAAGCCGATTTCAGGAAGCCAATTAAAACGTGATTTTATCGCTTCAGTAAACTCGGAAAACCCATTACGGGCGTTGTATTCCCGTCGAAATCTGGACAGAAAGGAAATTGCGTTTCAGGTTACCACTGTATAAGTTTGATGGTCTTGATATCCAATAATCATGGCATCGAAAACTAAACTCACTGTCCAAAAATTGCGTTTTTATCACGAAACGCTACTGCACGCGTGTCGGATAATTTTTGGGACGCACTCGTATTTAGCGAGATGATCTACTTTAGGAATTGAACTATGGGTAGAGTATTATACGAGATCGACAGCTTGTGTAACTACAAGCCGATTTCAGGAAGCCAATTAAAACGTGATTTTATCGCTTCAGTAACTCGGTAATTGTTACCTTCAAAGCAATGTCATCTCTGCTGTCGACGTAAATTAATTGAAAATGCAATCTACCTGTTGTTACTTACAAAGCGCAAGTTAATTAGATTACAACTTTGCAAAAAAAGCTCGATTCAACTGTGTCACTTTTATTGTAACCGTTTCTAAAGCTTTTCAAGGTTCCTCTTAAAATCCAATCGACCTCGGCAAACGTCGCAACACGTGCTTATTCAATTAGACAAATTTAAAAGCTACCAAAATTTCAAAGTGTCTATACCAAATTAGATTTAAATTGGCAGAGTTCCACTTTGATGTTAGCCATTAACATTACCTTTCAATATAATGGAATTTGTCACTAATGAACTAAATACGTATTGAGGGGTTGTCTCCCGAATCCGTGTAACACAAAACCCATTAAAAATAATTTTTCTAACCAAATTTCTCTCATTCTCCTCTCTTGTTTCAGAATCTCGTTCTGACAACATTAGAACGCTGACAGATTTCAAGGTAAGTAATCAGAACTTTCGTTTTAATCAAGCGTTAAACGATGAAATGAGCTTTCGGTGTAACCTCGTCTTAGAAACCTGTTGAGGAGACCGACGTGAAAAGCTCTCTCGAGAAAGGTGCTCCTCGTAGCATCAAAATGTTTGTTTCTCGCCTAATACACTGATTCTAGAAAATTAATAATTCAAAATGTAATGGCAATGTCAATTTAAGTGAGTTTGTAGTGAACTGTGATTTTGCTTGTGCCACTCTGATAAATTTCATCATTCAATCATAACAGTTAAGAGGGCGATGGTTATTCTGTAGGAGAAGGCGAATTTCTGCAATTGATGGCTAGCCATTTAGCTTTATTGCGTTAGTTTGCAGCCAAAGGGATGCTCATTACTTATATGCTTCCCCATCTAATTTATCCTTCGTTATCTGCATACTTAGGAATACGAATTTATTAAACAGAAGAGTTATTTAAGTGACAACGCTATAACTTTAAGTCCAGATCTATACTCCTAAATCGGTCCCTCTATCAAGTCGGCTACAAATTTTCTGCTTTTCAAGTCTCCTTCCTTCACTTCTTCCGCCCAATAGCAAGAATAGATAATTAACTATGAAGTATCCCGACGCAAACCTCCTGTGATTTGCTGTCAAGTTACGTTCCTCAATTTTTTCAATTTTTCAAGATCCTCTGTCAATATCGGATGGTTTCCAATGATTTCATGCTTAAACTGATCATTTATCGGTCGCAACTTATACACTCAATTTATGCTGAGTGTTGCGGAACTACAATTCACTTCGAAGGCCATACTCGAATTTTTTCCTCGCGTAATTGATTCCACTCTCGACTGCCAAAACACCAATGTCATAATTTCGTGCAAAACTAATCCCCGGTCGAAACTCGAAGTAATTTTTTAACGCCTATTTAATGGTAGAATAGTAATTGAGGCGATATTTAATTAATTTCATTGGTTTACCGGGATTTCAGGACTGTCTACTGAGCTTCAGAATCTGCGAAATCTGCATATTTTTTCCCATCTGCGTTTAGTTTGCAAAGTTGCGGAAGTAACCTAATACGACCTATTTCCCGCATGTAATTCAACACCAAACCCAGACACTGAGGCCGCAGACACAATTTAGAACAAATAATTCATTAGCGTACGTGTGAGAAAATGACGAAAGCTCGCCGTAGTACAATCGACAAAAGAAAAACTTGAACCTACTATGGGTAATAGTTGTTTGGTGGAATGTTCCTGAAACCTTGACTCTTTTTAAACTAAGAAATTTATTTCCGCGTAATTGAAAGGAAAAAAATCGCCAAAAAAGTTGTCGTTATACTGTGCATCAATTGCTTCAATCCCAACCATGTATCGAAGGATTGCTTAAGTCGGAATTTCCAGTTCTGTCAGAGGAAACCACAACTCCTTCCTCCATAAGTCAGAATCTGCTTAAGAATCACCAGTAGCTGAGTTTTCACCTAATGCAGTCCAACAGCAAGTGAGTAGCAATGTAGTTTGCAACATCAGCCAGGACATCCTCATTACATCAGTAGAAAGAAATGTTAGAAGGGCAGGATCTAGACCGACAAGCCTATCACATGCAGGAAATGTAATACAAATCTCCTCGAAACGATTATCGGAAACTTACCACCCTGCAGAGCCGAGTCAGGATTCCCATTCCGATGGGTAGGCATCGACTCATCGACAATGCAGGAGCTTTCAAACTGAAGGATCGGCGAGGAAGAAGAGTCAAAACTTTTACTGATACTTCGCTCGCCTATGAAGAATTCACTACAGTCCTCGGCAGCAATTGTTTACCACCTGTAGAAAATAGTAGAGATCCAGCACCAGAGTCCTGTATATTCAAAAAAGGTTGCAATAGGCATGTTTTTGTCGAAAAGCAGGTTTAAATATTGTTAGACAATTTGTAAGAATTGTAGCAGCTTTAGTTGTGGAAACGTACCTAAGCGTTTCTATATTGGAGGAGCAGGAGGGAGAAGCTAAAAGAAGACGAAAAAAATTATCTTTACCATTTAAACAATAAAACAACAATAAAATCTTCTATCGGACCTTTTGTAACCATAAAGGGCAAATTGACTGAACTAAAAGAGAAACGGGTATATATTTCTGTGTTTATTTCGTCTGGCAGGATGAAATTTTCAGAAATCTTAATTAAGATGGACAAGGGCGGTCTCCTTTTTGTGTGATTAACATTTGTAGTTAAATTTTATTAATTTGTCGTTGGTCTATGTAACGGCATGGGGATTATAGTGTCATACGAGTAAGCGGTTAAGGTTGTTTTTGTTTACATTTTTAGTTTATTTAAATTTCTGGGAATTGTCAGGTCTTTATGTGTTATCAATTGTAAATGCTTAATTTAATTGACAGGTGGATGTGATTTATCGTTTTTTCTGTGAAGTTAAAAAGATGAACTTTTATTTTTTCCTAGAATTTAAGTGTGGACTTATCTGTTAATGTCTGATAACAAATTCATTTATAAAAATTATTCGACCTCTATTTTTTGGTCTATTAACGTACGTTGAGGGGATAGTGTTTGTTGTCAACTGTTTATGATTGGTTGTTATAGTTTTGATTTTCGGTGTAAATAGGACGTTAAGAAGAAAAGCGTCGCTTTTTTAGCGCGTGCACATGCCCTTCTTGCCCCACCCTAGATACGCCTCTGATCAGAGACAGCCATCAGATCCTTGGCGAAACCTATCTGGAACCGGAGAGGGCGAAGCCACTTAATCTAACCGGGTTCCTATCCTTTATTTAGAGGAACGAGCTCTGAACCTAGTTGCAAAAGAAAAGCTACGGTGTGCCTAAGTGCTGCCTGGTCGGACTTTGCTGATGTGGGTACTAAAGTATCGTATAAACCAACCCTCCTCCTCATTCACACATTCAAGCGTTAAGCAAATGAAGTTATAACAATTACACAAGGGACAACTTGCACGAATATAACCCATTAATTATGGAAAATTAAATGGGAATAGCGACGAACGTTTTCTAATTTACGTCCGTTACGAATTAATTTACTTAGTTAACCATTAAAACTACTAACGTCGATGTCTGTTTCCTTAATCATCCATCACATACGACATGATTACACTAACTTTCCCGTTTTAGTTGATCTGCAGTATCAAAATTAACTGTTGGAAGGAAAGTCGCGGTTTAAAACTAACACCAAGAGGTGTCATCCCCAACTGACAGGCGGAGTTTTAGTAGTGAGAAGGAAATCTCGAACTTGTTCGTTTAGCTCTCGCACAGATCATGCCAAGAAGTCCAATATCCCTTTTTATCCGAAAGTTTGTAAATAGAGCATTGATAGCATTCCTAAGTAGACGGTTTCCGTTCGAAGTTTATTTGGGTAGGGGGGATTGACTGGATAAATTTAATTAGAGGCACCTTTCAGTGCTTTCAGTTACGCTAAGACTATTTTTGTAAAAGTTAGGACTACGACAGCGCTGCAAATGACGACTAGAAAATTACTGCAGTCGGTTGTAAATGAGCGTACTCCACTTCAGCAAGTTGGAAACAGCTACATCTGTTTTTTGTGAATATATCAACGACATTGTTCATTTCAGGGCGATTGAATTTTTTCTCGAGATTTCGATTTATATGCAAAAACAGTATTTGGATATACTTCATCCTACCAATACATAGCATACTGAAAACTTTGTACCTTCCTCTCGATTTTCAAGATCAATTCAGACCCTTTGAGTTTATGAACACCACGTACTTCTCATGCTCTCAAACTTACTTTGAGAAAGTTCTAAGCTTTTATTTAGTTCCGGAACAGATTTCATTTGCTATGTACATTGTACGCTCAGTCCTCTTCATTTAAGTTTAACGAGAAGTGCTGTCGGGCGTAACTATTCAGTTTCTGATTTATCAACGATAAAGGGCATTTTTGCAATTTTCCAACGAAATTAAACCCGCTACTTTGTTGAATTGGGAAGTTACGTAATTTAGCATTTATCATTATTATTGGAGGAAACGAAGCGTAAAATTTGTTTTCCGTCAATATACGAAATAAATCAAAGCTCCCGTTTTGCAAAACTGCTCTGCTAGGTCAACATTACAAAGTAACGTTAACTTTAAGTTCCCGGGACCAACCATGTGCAAAATGATACTACCTTCTTGTTCCATTTGTCTCCTGTCAATTCGCCTGTAACAGGGAACGTTAGATTTGAATTATACTCTTAATACCCCCTCTTCTTTTCCTTGTCTTGTAAAGATTGTGTCAAGTACTGCGCTTGGAAACCCAACCCAAATAAGTTTCACGTACTTGCAAACTAATTCCATAGTACAAACGTGATTTGACTGAATAATTAGAGTAGCGTTGAATCTATTCTATCTGTTTCTGTACAACGCTCATTTAGTCTTGCATTGTTTCTCGCCTTAAACACATGGAGTCGGATGCGTACGTAGCATTTAATCATGGAGTTCTTACGTGAACCTCTAGAAATTAAATGTGGATAAAATAAACATATCCTTTATGTAGTATTTCCAGAGCTTTAAATGCCCAGTAGAGAGCTCTAGAGAGGAGACCGATTTAAATTATAACCAGACGTGTATTTTGTAACAATTTATTGTTAGTGTTAGAAACGTGTTCCCATTTTTCACAAACTTAGTTATCCCATTCAATCATAGCCCAAAAACTGGCCATGGTTAGATCGACCTCAATAAAGCTTTAAAATTTTTGAGCAAATCTAAAAAAAAAAAGAGAATATTATACCTCGGGAAAACACTTTTTCTTATTAATTTTGGTACGTAGAATCCAAAACAATTCGGACTTTTTCGATCGGACTTCTCAATCAAAAGTTATGGCGAACTAGAAACCAATTTCGAAAGAAAATTCAAAGGGCTGTAACTTTTGAACTAGTAGCCCAATCTTGGAACTGTTTGAAATTATTACAACGTTATCTCCATTTATTTTAACAACTATGCGTTTCAACTTTCAAAAAGTTGATGTGAAGTAATTTTTTTGTTATATATCGTCATTTTTGGACACGG